GCATATATATAGAGAGAGAAGGTGTTTGGTCCAACTGAAGTTATAATAAATCTAATTTTACTAGATCTCTCCCTCCCCTCAGGTGTAGAAAATTTTCAAGTGCAGAAAGTTTATTTGCAGAATTAATTCATTTCTGATAAACTTATTATCATTAATTTTTTATATAACATGTTATTAAGTTACACATTTGACTACTGTGTAATAAAATTGTATTTAGGGCAAAAAATTAACTATAATTTTGCATCTGGTGACTAATATCATATGCTTCTAAGAATATTACTTTAACTTTTTCCATAATTTTTGTATTTCAGGAACATGAAACTGTTATTTTGATATACTTAAATAATAAAAGTGTGTATCTGAATCAATTAATGGATACAAATATTTTACAGTTATTTTTAGAAGATATTTGCCATATCGCTTCTAATAATTCATAAAGTATGTTAAAATATAGGTAAATAATTTGGTGCAGAATTCAAATTTAGGGTTTAAAATATAGTGAATCATAAGACTAAATGATTTTTATTGTCATGATTTGCCTGGGCTTAAGAATGTACTTTTCGCCCGGTGGAAATTGTCATCAAACTGTCCTGAACAGGCTTTTTGTTGATAATAACTTCCAGGCTTATCAGTACCTCCTTTTGAGTGGAGGGTATGCAAATATAGTACCCAATTTAAATTACATTGTGATTGTAATAATATTGTGGTATTAAATAAGTGATTATAATTACAATTTAGGTAATTGCATTGTAATTATATTACATTGTATCTGTGAACTCTTAATTTCATTACTTTATGCAATTATGTTGTAAGTGCATAATCTAATTGCAATAATATAATCTATTCGCAATTACAAAATAATTATAAATGCAGTTACATCTTAAATAGAGGCCATTTTAATACTTTTAAATTTTCGCAAGATAACTTCCCATTAAGGTTCATTTGGAGGAAACTATGCAAATACTAAAAAAGAAGTTATGCTAAATTTACATATTTTGTACAGTACTTTCTTGTTATAATGCTGTTCAATATATCTTCAATACTTTTGTAAATTTAACGACATTCTTTGCAATCACTGTGGTGCTTTAAAAAGAAGTTTCTTAGTTATGCTTTCTAATAAGAATGGGTTTAAAATTAAGTATTATGTATAATAACTAGCAGTTAAAAAAAACTTGACTGCATGAAAATGCTGTTGCTGTGTAAAATAAAAAATAAGCTTTCTTTTATGCTTTGAAATGAATTACATGTGGTTAAGTCGTCCTTTTACAATTTAAGAATGTGGTTAACACACATTCTTAAATTGGACAGGTTTTATCTAAATTATTAGTATAAAATATATAAACTATGAATTATTTTGTAACATAACTCAAATTACAAAATTCATTCTATATACGTTCAAAGTTATTATCTTTTATGGAATAACTGTTTTTTAATTTAGGTAAAAATTGGATTTTTAGAAGTATTACAAATACAATGCAACACAAAGGTGATCTGATTGAAGAGGAAGGACTTTTTATTACGGTTTCTAGTTCGTATTTATATTACATTTGATGAAAAGCATCCAAAACACAGAATGCTGTACTTTCTTCTTCCATATATGTTATGAAATATTTCACACATTTAAAAGAAAGTGTTTCTTCAGAATCTTGCACAATTATTTCCATATACCTCAGACTTAAATGACAACATATTCTTAAGTTATTTTTTTAGTATGAATTTACAGTGTTTTTATGGAAATTTTTGTTAAAATGTCATTAAGATAAATTTATTTGCACACTCTACGCTTTAACTATTTCCCCATTTGACACTATTGAAAGTTTTTATTCATATCTTATTTATTTTAGTCTGCTAACGAAACTGAAACATCTAAAGAATAAGTTATTTTGAATATGTTTACAAAATATACGCGAAATTTTTATTTAAGTGAAAACGTCTATATACTATTCGAGAATTAATAAATTATCCGAAAAGTTTATATGCGCTGAATGCCGCGCGTCTATAAAATAAATCTTTAAAAAAACAGCAGACATTCAGCCAGCGTGTGCGATAAACGCGCCAAAATTGGCAGCGCGTTCACCTCCCTCGCCAAGAGAGAAAAGTTGGTGATTCAGCCTGGTTTAGAGGAGCCTACCTGAGGTTCGCTACTTTATTTATTCAATCAATGTTTTAAAAAATATTTTTTTTCACTCATATATTCTGTCATTCCTTAAATTTTTAGGAAGCTTCTGCGCCATTTAAAATACGTTTATTTTATATTGAAAAATCCTTGGCTTGCACTTTACATTTGGGTAAATTAATAAAGCTATTTTATTCCCCTTCAGAAATGTTCAGAGAACTTTAAGCACTATTTAAAGTATTTTGCTAATTTCTAATAATTCTCTAATTTAAAATGAACCGAATGGAGCATTAATTATAAATTGACTTATATTTTTCGATTTAAAAGATGCCTCAGAAGCCAAAAAATCGTGTCATATTTAAGAAAGTATTTTAGGAAGAAGCTCTATAAATAGAAAAGAAATAATGCATAATTTTAATATTAATAATACAATAAACTTTGATTTTAATTTTTGTACCTTAACCAAATAAAATCGAATTATTACCTTAAATTTTTTTCTAATGTAATTAACGAAAACTTGTGAAAATATTTCATTCAAATTAAAACATTCTGAGGAAAATGTTCTGTGAAAAGTAGAGCATTTAATTCCGTTCAGAATGAAATGTTGTTTAAAAGTATGTTGTTTTCATATACTTAGGACTCTGAAGTGTTGTAGAAAAAGGAAATATATACATTTATATGCATATTTACGACGTAATTACAAAATATTTACATCCGACCGCGTCAAAACCCATTGAACTAAATGGTAAATGACCCAATGTTTTGGTCACTACGTAGGGATCGCCGGTGCTTCAGAGCATACCACGTCAAAAACTGGCTTAGCGCGCCATTGGAACATACCGCTATTAAACTCACTACCCCAGGTGAAGTTAAAAATATTATCAAGAATTCAAGTAATAGAAAAGCTCCTGGACCTGATCAAATTTCAAATAAACTCCTAAAGCAGCTCCCGCACGGTGTCATCTGAAAATTAACATCCATCTACAACGCCTGCCTCACGAACTCTTTTTCGAATGTTTGGAAACACGCCTCGATCTTCCTAATTCCAAAACCCAAAAAACCACCTGATAAACTTACTAGCTACCGGCCTATAAGTCTCCTGTCTACGCTGGGAAAGATTTTTGAGCGAATTATTTACAACCGACTGCAAATCACCTTGACTTCATCCCCAAAGAACAACATGGGTTCAGGAAAGGACTCTCTACCACCCATCAACTGGTTCGTATCTCAGAATTCATAGGATCGGCACTCAGAAATAAACAAAGTATTGCTTTCCTCATGCTAGACGTGGCCAAAGCTTTTGACCGCGTCTGGCATGAAGGCCTCATCTATAAGCTCATACAGCTGCATATCCCGAGAGAACTCGTCCTCATCCTGAAGTCATTCCTCGAAAATCGTACTTTCTCAGTTAGACAAGGTGATTATCTTACTAATCCATATCCTATCCTGGGAGGGGTCGCCCAGGGTAGTATCTTAGGACCCATTATCTACATTATTTATGTTTATGATTTTCCTACCTTCCCAGAAGATTACAACTTTCAACTAGCCTGTTACGCGGATGACACCGCACTTATACAAAAGTCCAGAAAGCCTAACAACGCTCTCGTCCAACTCCAAAATAAAATGAATCAGGTGGAGGAATGGTGCAAGAAATGGAGAGTGAACATTAATGCGGACAAATCCCAAATTCTACTCATCCGGCGCTACAAGAAACTGGATAATATCTCCGCTACTGTAACTCTATTTGGAAACCAATCCCGCTTGTAACCCAAGCTAAATATCTTGGAATCACCTTTAATCGAACTTTCACCTGGTCAACGCACATAAATATTACAAGGGGAAAAATCTTCGGAATCATGTGCAAGCTTTTTCACCTCCTAGCTGAATCTTCAGGTCTTAGCCTAAATAGGAAGAAAAGAATTTACACGGCGAATCATACGACCCATTATAACTTACGCATCTCCAGTCTGGGCAAATGCCAAACCGAACGATTTTAAAAAGCTGCAAGTTATCCAAAACAAGTTTCTCAGGATTATCACAGGAGCTCCGTATTATATCAGAAATAAAAACCTGCACCGAGACTTAAAAATTGAATATGTGAAAACTTACATCAACAAGCTCAACGAAAATTTCTACAGAAAAGCAAATCAAAATAGCATAGCGGACTTTTCTAATATTTTGAATTATGAAATCATAGAGGATGATTATTACAATAGGCCCTTCACTGCCCACACCATTAATATGTTGAATTTGCACACCTAACTTAAGCAGCATCGACTAGGGTCATTTTCCGAGAGGGTGACCACCCACGTGACCAGCCTGAACATATCAAAGTGCCTTGCTTCTATCCACCAGCGCTGCCTCCTGATTCGCCAGCCCCTGATCCCGGCTTTCCACCTCCGGACTTCGAATTTCTTTTAACCCCCATCACCGCCACCAGAGGGCGACACACCTGACTGCTGTTTTTCTTCTTCTTTTTCCTCCCGCTCACTGCTTCCTCCATGGGATTTATTCTGGCATTTTTCATTACCATGCCCATTGTGGAATTACATCAGGTTTACAGGGAAGTACTGCGAATGCAGTAGACCCCTGTATAAATACTTCTGTATCAAAGTATGCTTCAGAGCAGGGCAAGGAGGTTAGGTTCTTGAAGCAGGGTACGGGAGAAACCTGTTTAGGGCTACTTCATCTTACTTCCTACCTCCATGGTGATAACACCATAGTATGGCCAATGACAAGCGCTCTCTCCTACTGACCATGATTAATTCGTGGATTTAAAGCATATCCCAAGATCATAATGATAAGTAACAACAATAACGAATAAATTTTACAAATATGGTAACAGAGTCTGGTTTCAGTTGTACTGCCCAATGTTTAGTTTTACCTGATGAGAAACATATGTAGCAGTTTCTGATGCCGCTACCTTGGCTAATGCTGCTTCCTAAAAATCAAAGAGAAAAAAATGTTCAGATTATTTTTCAAATTTACTTATTTACAATATAGTTATAAATAGTTAAAGTTATAAATTATTATATACTATGCAATGATCAGCTAACCGAGGAAAAACTTGCAATGAATTAACGTGGATTCCCTCACTAACATTAAGTAATTTTGCAATATTTTTTCAGTGAACTTTTGTGCTTCGTTAATTATCAGATAAAAGGACAATTTGCGATGAAAAGATAAATAAAAAAAGATTGTTTGTGTAGCATATGTGCTCCTACTAAAAACTAAATCAATTTAATGCAATTTCAATAAGCATAAAAAAATATAATTTTGATCCACCCTCGTTAATTTTCTCGCTGTTCCAAATTTGCCATTTAATTGTTTTAATTTTTTGTAAATCCACGAGCGCAAGTATTATTCTGATATAAAAATTTCATTTGGCATTGATTCATTTTAAATATTTTGTAAACAAAAGCATTACAAAAATAATATGCAGACTTTTGTATTAAGAAATCGCTGTATCACATGTTGGAATAATGGATATAAGAATCTGATGATAGAAATTTATCCAAAATATAAAATCTGAATTACTGATATTCAAAGTTATAAAATTTCATAAATATTTTACTTCATCGAATTTGTATGTGTCTGCATTTCTTGAGAAGGTTTATGGTATATCATTTTTAATATGTTGATTTTGTCAAAATAGGATATTTTAAATGTCATATATCTTCATGAAATACGTTTAAAATATTCTATGAAATTAATACAGTTATCTAAAGAACTCTTAACTACTGGTAAATAGTATCTAAATACTTTAATTGCGATTTTCAAGCATTTAATATGCCACTTTACATGTGTCAGAGGGAAAACGTTGGACTCTATATCTACTTTAAATCATTAGAATAATATTATTGTATGCAAACCTTTGTATATTTTTCTCTTGTATCCCTCACCATTGCTGCTTTCCTTGTTAATAAACGAGCAGCTTCGATTCGCATTTCCATTTCCGCTAGTTTGAGCTGAAAAAATATAATCATGTAAAAAACAGTTTATAACTGAGTTTAATAAATAAGATTTGTTGAAAAAAATTTATACCTGAATCGTTTGTAAATTGAGAATGGGTGAACCGAAAGCTTTCCTTTGTGAGGCATAGTTGATTGCACAGTCGAAAGCCGCCTGAAATAATTTCAGATGAAATAAAAGTGACATTTATTATCGAAATCAAGAATGAGCAATACGGAAAAAAATTCTAACAAATGTGCATTTTGCTAATATATTTTTTCTATAATCATTGGTACATATCTAAAAATATTGCGATATTTTACATTTTCAAAATTCTTGAAAATTGAAGATACGGGGTGTCATGCCCCAATTTACCCCGTATCGTACGTCATGCCCCAATCCCATCGGCGCATGCTATCAAATTGTGGGTACTTTGGGGAAACGGGTGATATGGTGAAAAGACTTTTCGTTTGGTTTATTTAATTATGGCTATTGCTTAGATACACTGTTCAAGGCTTTTAGACGCACGCGTCTCCAGTGGCTGCGGGGCAAGAGAGACATCCATCCCTGGAGCAGCTTCCCGGGTTCCAGGAAACGGCAAACTGATGTTACGAAATTTTATAATGAAATGTTTCCATTTTTTGCAAACAGGAGAGTACGTGAAACCATCAGTTTTCCCTGGGCGCTGAAAACTCTAGCTGCTGCTCTGCGCGTCTCAGCATATCCAAACTGCTGTTGCAACTGCATCCTTCACTTGCCTAACCCATAATTTGGCCGATCTTCACTGCGCCGACCCAACATCCAATGAGCAACTTTGACAGACCGTTTGTGTTGTAATGAAGGCTTCCAGTGCCATAATCCTCAGATGTACCGGTTAAAGTCTGAGGTACTTTAATTTTTTGTCTCCTAGCTCTCCACGGATGTATATGCCACACGTATGCAAGTGCATTCTGGCAGAGTTGCATACTCAAACTGGTAGGTACCAAATGTGCTATCCCGTAGTTACCTATTTTCACTTTTCTTTAATATACTGATATATCACTCAGCAAAACAGATGATTTCACTCTAGCTTTCAATCGCCAGTCTTTTAAAAAGTTCAGTTTATCCGACTGAAATCAATAAAGCATTGTTGAGTATAATCATACCATTTTACTAACTGCAACTGGCAAATATTATTTTGCTTCATGTTTAACTTTCTACGACTGGCAACTTTTCTTCTTATTATTGTTTGTTACTTTGGGTATCATGTTTAAAATTCTTTCGTAACATCTAATAAATATTGTTTCTAACGACAGTTCATCAGCCTCTTATGCATTTAGTAAATATCAATAAGCATAAATACACAAATGAAAAAAATATCAATATCTTTATTGATACTAAACTGCAATCTTAAGAATTAAGTTCAAGAGGAAGGCAGAAAACTCTAATTACAATATCGGGAATGTTATAATAAATAAATATATAAAATATACCTGAGCGATTCCTAATGCTTGTCCTGCTATACCAATCCGTCCGAAGTCTAAAGTTGCCTGGATAAAATTAAAATAATAATAATAATAAAAATTGTCAGAACGCAGTCGCGAGATAACGTTTAATTGTATAAAATGTGATTCATTTTAAAAGGCCATTCGTAACGAATGGCTAAATTTCTCACTAAACGCTAAATAATTCCTAATAATATCATCTAAGAATTCCCAATGCAGCATTTTAAGTGAGAGATGACAATATTTAAATTCATGGTTAATTACTGTTAGAATGTCCTCCACGAAAACATCTCTTCTGTCAGCCAGACAACTTTTCTTTTCTCTGCCGTAACTGAATAAATGACAATGAAACTATCCATTATATTGATTAATGCCCAACAGTAGCCCAAATGTTTAAAATCTCTGGACACTGGTAATTCGTTACGGCTTCAAATTCTGTCGAACGGACTGGCTGCTAAGATGTTTTCGTGTGAACAGCGTCGGATTTAGCATTTTTCCTAGGTGCGGTAAAAACTTAAAACTGCCGCCCTCACCCATCTTCCTTTAAGTTTCTCTAACAAATATTAATCTAAAAAAAAAAAAAAAAAAAAAAACGCAGAAATAGGTACAGTTTGAGATAAAATGTAAAATCCATTTTATAGTAAGAAACTCTTTATGCGCCATTTTGATTATGAAAAAAATATACATAGGAAATGATTTAGTTTCTTTACCTTATGGTTTAGTTTCTTTAGTTTCTTTATTACCCTCTCATGCTTTATAAGAGGGCTATCTGCCTAAGAGGAGAGATGCCTTCGCTGAGGACTTTCTAAGAGTAATTGGCTCGTATGCAAGTTACGCATGGGCGAAACGACGGAAACGCCCATGCAGCCAGCTGATTCGCCTAAATTCTAACCTCGCGATCGAATTACCAGTGTTCAGACTCTACTGGTCAGCCGCTGGTGAACCGAAATATATACCAAAGGTTACATAATCAAAAATCCGTGAAAATCCTCCTAATGCCTTCCTGATGCAATGAAATAATCAAATTTACATTTTACCTTAAATAGGCGTTTTTTTCAATATTTATAACAATAACTACTCATAAATGATACTGATAGAAAACAGTTCAATACTAAAGATTAAAGTAGTTCAGCACAGTACAAAAATGGGAATCACACATTACTAAATAATAAAAAAATTCATTTAAACAAATATAAGCAAACTGCAAATCACTAATGCAAATGGATTGAATAATTTTATGCCAACCCAACAATTTATCCAATCTAGAGCAAACAGGAAAAGAAAAATGGAGAAATATAATTGAAAATCACGAGAACAAGTAAAAGATATCTAACAAGCAGGCTAATATTACTTGAATAACAGTAATAAGTACGAGAGCTAAATGAAAGAAATTTTTCTCCAATATTTTGAGCTTGCGCTAATATTTCATGGAAAAAGAACAAATGCATGTGAAGCATTTCATTCAAAATTCAGTGCGAATTTTTACCATTCCCATCCTAATGTCACCTTCACAGATGACATTCGCGAAATTCAGATAGATATATTTGTTGCAATAAATGCTGTGAAGAAGCACAACAAAATATAAACGGGAATTACCCAAATAAGAAAGAAAGAATTGCGGATTTGCAAATTTAAACGCGGTATGGAATGATTTCACGGTTAGAATTCCTAAGACGTATTTCCTGTCACCCAAAAACCGTACATTTTTTTATTGCAATCCATTGTATTGAAGCAAATGAATATGAAATTTTATAATAAATATGATCATTTTAAATTACAAATGTATTAGAAAAATGTTCGAAAACAGGTCAGCATGGTAAAGATGGAAATGATTGATTATAGAAAAAGCCTTTTTTTTTCCTCTTAAATTTCTCTTTTATGTCATTATGAATGTCTTAAAATTCTATAGCTACTTTCAGAATAACTTAAGAAGTTTTGAAGTTTTGATACAGTTTTATGTATACTATTTTGCAATGTTTCGATTTTCGAACAAGTAAAATGAGTTAGACTCTTTATTACTGTTTTTCATAAAACTTAAGCTTTCCCCATTGCTCATCTTAGCGTAGTTTAGTAGATTCATTTCCTCTTTCTTTCCAGTTTTTAACATTTTCATACCCTTTTCATTATAATAAATATTTTACTACTCCAAAATCTCTTTGCATGGTCAATGAATATCACCCGTATCATATTGCTGTCAGTTATTAAAGGAAACGTTTTACTTTTCAAAAACTGATTTTTTTTTTCCAAATACATCTTCCGCTTTCAGTAAAGATGTATTAGCTTAAGTTAATATACTCAGAATTCTGAATATACATGTAACAATTCTATTATTATGAATATAGATGTTAATTCTGATGTATTAATTTAATATATAGTACAATAAGGCTGATATGCTAGCTTATTTCGTCTTCTGAATGTATATAGCAATTCTGGTACATTAGCTTAATATATCTTCTGAATATATATAAAAATTCTGATAGATTAGCTTAATATAAATTCGGAAAATATATAATAATATTGATATATCAGCTTAGATATAGCTTCTGATCTCAAACTGTATAACGCATAGAGAAGCTCAAGTTAAACGCTTTCAGTATAGAACGAAAATTCCTAATAAACGTGTTAAACAAATTAGATGGAGGAAAAATCCATGTTTTAATTATATCCTTACAAAATGTGCGTTTTTGGAAAAACTACCGGAGTTTGCAAAAATGTATCAACAATAGAAAATCGAGTTAATTTTTTTGCTTATTATTTTCTTATTAAAAGGATTTGCAAAGAGATACGCTAAGCTAAAATTTACCAATGAATAAAACTTTGCAGCATTTTTAAAGAATAAATTTTAAAAATATTTTTATTTCATAAACGAAAGTTTTTACGATACATTTTACTAGTAAATATCTACAGAGAAAGAAAGAGCTTTTGGTCGGTATGGTATGACAAAGCACCCGAAGGATATCTGCCTTGGAGTGAAATGATTTCCGTGGAGGAAAACCGCGAAGATCAACTATGCAACCAACTTGTTCGCCTGGGATTGAACTTAGCTTGCAGCGGTCTTCAATTCGATCACTAGTAAGAGCAAATTTTTAAGGTAAACTGGCTCGTATTCACGTTACATATGAAGATAAACCACGAAAACTGTCATGCAGCCAAATTGTTCTCTGGGATTTGAAACTCGCGTCACGTAGAGCTCTTGAAATTAGGCTTATGTGATGCTGTGTGTTGAACAATATATTAAAGAAGATAGAAGCTACATACAATATTAAAATAAACGCAAAAGTGTGCTAAATATAGATTGAGGTACTTGGTAAATGAGTTATATTTATCTCTATGCCATCATAAAACAATATATCACAAAAATATCAAAGAAGAAGATAACGCAATCTATATATTAGGAGCATTTGCTATTAATTCCAGTTGGATGAAAATTTTTATAAAATTTATAAATGACCTACACTATTAATCACGTTAACTTCTTGTATTATAAATAACGACAGTTAGAGATATTATTAGCATAACTCAGCGTCATCTCTCTTTAAAAATAATTTCATTGAAACCTAAACCTGGTAAATTGAATAAGATGCGTACTAAAGATTAATCAACACGGAGACGTTAGAAACGTCTGTTAACTGGAGTTACGAAGCAGAAGTTTCTAAAAATTATCATTTAAATATAAATTGCATGAATAAAATACAATACTATACAAATTCTTATATACAGCAATAAAGAAATATATGATGCAAGTTTAAAAAGAAATGGATGAACAGGAAATAAAAAATTCTAAGAGATGAATATAAGGCAGTGGTTCAAGTCCGGGCGAGGATATTGCTCATTTTTCATATCTCCTGCTTCAAAATAACCTAATGTCTCTACAAAATATTTGCCTAAAATGGTGAATTTGAAAGTTAAGACTATACTATTATCTAAAAAAAATTCATTAATATTTACCTAGACAAAAAAGAAAAGAAAGAAAGCTAATTTAAACTGCTCCTCGTCGGACTTTGGAATCCCTCTATTCTCAGCCCTCTCAGTGATTTTATCGTATTCGGATTAGAGTCGTATTCGGCTGCACTTTGCTTTCTTTTTTCTTTGTTCCAATAAAAGATTTCTTAGTAATTAATTATAAATATTCTTATAAGAGGTTTTTAAACCTGGCTTTAAAACTACTAATGTTGTATCAGAATTAGACAACATTCCAAATACTATCCAGTGCCACGGTTGAAATTTCCGCCAGCAGAAGTTGCCGCCCCGGGGCACAGACACCGGCTTGCCCCCCTCTAGATCCGGGAGTGGGTATGAAGCAATGCAGACGCCTGACATATCAATCATGTTGAAGATGTGTCTGTTAGCACATCTTCAACAATACCTATGTCTCAAAGTAGTTTGCTTTTTGTTGAACCCTCTACAAGAACAACGTTTCCTTTTTAAAAGTTGAGCTCAGAAGAAAGATTTAAAAAGTGATGAGCTTTCCTCAATTGTAGCAAATATTGTTCCTTTCATTTAAACCACAACTACTTGAGGAGCTTCGGCTTTCCTTCTTAATAGAGCTCGACTGGAAGTCTTTTTGTAAAGCTTAAAGGAAAACTGATTTCCTCACGTCCAGGAAGTAAGAAATGCAATGATGTAAGAGAGCGAGTTTCACCCAGCTCACTGCACTGGTAAGGTAATGATATGTTAATTAAAACACATTCTATTTCCCTAAGTATTGTTGTTAATTCCTCATATGACAATAAAGCGCTTCCCAATATTTTCTTTAAAAGTTCCTTGATACTCTTCATCATGCGTTCCCAGAATTCTCCCCACCATTGTGAACGCACAGGGAAGTGATACCTTTAGATGTTATGAAGTCTTTCAGTGTTGGATCTATGATAATCCTTCAGTATTTTACTTGAGCTGCGGAAAGATTTGGTGCTGTCTGAATAGATCACTTTGCAGTTTCCTCTTCTAAATAGAAAATATCGAAGTGATAAAATAAATCTTTTTGTTGACATGTCTGAGACGACATCAGTATGCACTATGCACACTAAAACGGAACAATGCATACA